GGAGCTTCGCCTCTCGGGGGACGTGGTTTGGCAGTTCGGCACCCTGCCCTGCGCGGGCACGCTCCACCAGACAGCCCAGTGCTGCTCCGACTGGGAGAGCTGGTCAGGCCAGGCCCCGAGGCAGTGGGCATCTGAGCGTTTTAGGGTCTGTGTGTGAAAGTCAATAAAGCGCTTTAGTGTGTGTGTGTGTGGAGGCACAGTCAGAGAGAAGGGAGACGATTTATGTGTCAACTGGGTTTTGAAATGAGGTGGAGCACCAGTTAGACAAAACGTTCCTGCCTTGCAACTGCGAGGGATTGCAGATGCTTGAACCAACAGCGTAAAGGGGCAAAGCAATGGTAGACATAGTGTAAGCATTGTCAAAAACTGAATGGGAGAGTAAAAGAGGCATGTAAGTTTGCTGCTAGAGTGCATGCTCAAGAAACATACTAAAAGGTTAAGATAGTTTTAAATTGGGACTTGAAATGAACAGGGAAAAATGGAAGTGTGAGGTAGTTGTATATAGCGTAGGTTTCTGGTCACTTGCGCTGGCTTGCTTATGATACAGCCTAACTTGTATTTCATCGCAAACTCTGCCTACCTCAAATTTAGTGGCCTCATGGCAGCACTCTCATTTCACCAGTGTCTCAGACTCTTGAGTATGTGATACCAACAGAATTCTGTAAAATCCTTTGGGTGGCTGCAGAGGCCCCTCCTGCAGCCGGCAGAGGATGAAAGGTCTGGCTGTTTCAGCAACAGGGAAGAAAATAGAGCAAAGTCTGCCACCAACACACTTTTCTGTGTAATCATTCAAGTTTACCTGGATTTGACTAAATCGGTGTGAACCTCTCTGTTGATCCTTTTATTTTGGACTGAGGAGGCTGACGTTGCTGGGAACAATGTTGAACAAAACTGAAATAGAAATACATTACATAAAATTCATACTCTGACTAACCAGCACAAATCTCCTCCTAGGTTGTGAAAGGCCAAGTTACCAAACTCGCAGCAGGCTTGCTGTTTTGCATTGACCACGTGCTTGCATCAGTTGTAGTCTGAGGTGCAGGTATGACAGTCCATTCCTCATGCTTCGAGGGAATGCTTTCAGAATGAGGAAACCTGAAACAACTGTGGCTGATCCTAAGCCACTTGGGCAGTCTACAAGGCAGTTGTCTAGAGGTTTCTGAGAAAGAAATCTTGTTAGCTGGCAAATGTGGTTGCCTGAGAAACATTCGGGTCCTCTTGAGTTTGCGTAGAGCATCCTCCCATTGCACCATTTTTTAACATTTATTTAGTGTTGCTTTACCTCAAAAGAAGGCTTGATATTTGGAAATGGAGAAGTCTTGCTTTTTAATGGACCTCATAAATGTAACCAGAGCACCCCCTGGGTTTTAAAATTAAGGACACGAAGAAAGTCACTGTCACTGTCTCCATAGTGAAAAATGAGAATGGTAACTCCTAACTTATGTGTAACGTGGAGAGTTTTTCAGGCATTGTCTGAAGAACATAGTGGAGTTGATGCTTCTGTTGCTTTCTAAATCAGGAAGAATTTGAGATAATGCAGAATACCCAGGCTGCAAAGTTAACTTTTCACCACAGAGAGACTATTTCGTGTCAGCTTCTCTGAGGAGGGAGGTGGTCTGAAGCCGCTGTGGGTGAAAATGGTCAAGTAACTGCTCCCCTGCTGGAATCTGTTACATTGTATACAAAAATGTTGGATTCTCAGGCAATAGCAAAGTAGTTGCACCTCTTTTTGGCTCCTGGCCTGTCATTACTTCATTAGCGTCAGAGTTTGTTTAAAGGGCAGCTCTGGTGGTCTGCCTTGCTTCAGGTATGCAAGGTAATGCTCAAGTTCAGCTAAAAGGTGGCCATACTAATATTTACCTCTTCTGTGCACATGCCAGGAGCAGTCCTGCCTGTAAATTAACTTTCCTCTTTCCCCACATTTTGAGCTTGTTCTGTCTGTCCAAGGCTATCAGTGCCTGCTGATGACAGATATCCCCATCTTCACCATCTAGTATGTGTCTTACACTGGTTGCACATTCCTCATGCTGAGAAGTGTTCAGTGCTTTCAAATTTTGTTGGCTTGGATGGGATTTGAGAGAATCTTGCAGCTTTGGCTGGAAAAATGGGGTGTAATTGATGAATATATAGCACAGTAGATGAATTCTTAAGGGGACAGTTTTTGGAATAAAACCAGTTAAAATATCTTTATTAGTCTAGCAGAATATAAATGACATTCATCTTATGCAACCGTTGCAGCTTTGACACTGTTGTCAATGCGTGTCAAATATTGTCCCCGTTGCACACTAAACGTTTAGAGAATTTAAAAAAATATTTAGTTTCCACCACTGATGATGTTTATTTATTTATTGCCAAGAATTCAACATAAGGCTGTGAGTAGTAGCACTGCCTTGCCTAACATGTTTATGTTTGTGTCCTGTAGTGTTTTCTATTACAAATCTAGTTAGTTTAGATGCTGAAAAGGGAGTGTCAGATATCTTTTGGTTTATTATCTGTTTTTCTTAGTTTAATTTTCTCATTCTCATGAATTAATATATTGCCTCAAGCATTGTGGGGAGGGGGCAGTATTGCAGCTCAAATGAAATCATTTACATAGATAGAATTATATTCTAAAGGCAGTAAACATTTCTACCAGAGATTTAAAAATATTTGGCTTTGTTTAGAAAGCATGTTCCTTGGGCCTTTAACAATGTCTTTACTAAAAAATAAACAGAAGAAAAGATCCCATCTCTCTGTTACCATTCCTTATAGTAAAAGAAAGGGAAGAGCAAGATGATGGTGTAGCCTCTGAACAGAATAACCAATTTCTGATTTTTCTTGGCTATCAGTATTTTGTTGATGCTGAATACTTTGGCAGTGTATTTGTTGAGTCTTCTTGGCTCAGCCTGCCAGCAAACCAGTCCTCCGGTGTTCCATTTAACTGTAAATCCCAATAGTGTGAGAGAAATTGAAATTCTTTAACATTAATTGGCAGTAGTATTGTTGGTTTAGATAACTATGTCTAAATTTTTCCAAGCTGCTTAGTTTGGGACACAAAATGATACCTAATTATCTGTACAATTATGTGCAGAAGCTGAGAATCCTGTAGCCTGGAAGTCGGTATGTAGCTGATCTGTGAGTTGTAAAAGGCTTGAAATTGTTCAAGTCGATGGCTGAATTGGACTTGGTACCAAAATGGTAGTGTGGCCATTGAAGTAGCACAGGCAGAGTGGATTCTGTATGTGGGATTCTTTTGTTTGTTTTATGACAGTGGAAGGCTCACTATGCTAAAAACAGACTACATATAAATTTATTGTAAGAGACTGAGAATGGAGAGATGATAAGGTGAACAGAATACATTGGTAATTCTACCATCTTTTATACTTGGTGATGTTCTTACATGTGGTTTAGTGGGGAAGCAAGCAAAGTAGAAAGGCCCAAATCCTACTTGTTTTGTTTCTAACGCTTTATAATATTTGCTTTGAATTGAGTCTACCATGTGGCTGCGTTTTTTCTTCACATAAAGAAGTAGTTAAAGCAAATTTAAAAGATGTTGAAAGATGCCTG